GACCGTGATCGGCATTTCGGAGAGGTCTCTGGGTGTATCCAGAGAGTGGACTGTAGGAGGGAGAGAATGGAGGCCAGTAACTGAGGTGAGAGACACCTAGTTCAGCAAGGCTGCATTAGAGCAGTGGTCATCAGAAGTCAGAATGGAGAGGTGGGACTTACTCAAGAAATAAAATTAGAAATAATTAAATTTTTAAAAATTAGAAGTGAATTTGGGGAAATTTGGTGAACTGATGTAGGACTTGAGAGAAGGAGCAGTCAAGGATGACTTCTGACTGGCATGAGTGGGGACATGGTCATGCTGCCAGTTCAGTTAGAAGCGTAGAAAATGGTGATGATGATGAGACGGGGGATGGCGATGGCGGTGGTGAATCTTTTAGAAAGTATCGACTTTGCGAGGAATCTGGAGGCAGATAGATCTGCAAGTCTGAAGCTTGGCGAGCGCTCAGGCCTGAGGTTGCAGATCTTGGAGTCACTCTTAAACAGCTGTGAATTCAAATTCTCAGTGTCGATCCACTTTTCCAAGGAGAGTGGGAAAGAAGAAGGCTGGGAATTGGACCTCAGGGGCCATCGGAGTTCCGGGTACAGGAAGAGGAATGCACCAAGGAGATGGAAGGGAGGGTTGCAGAATTACGAAGCTAACCAGGAAGCTGGTGTCGAAGAAGCTGAAGGAGAGTTTGAGCCATCGCCAGTGTCACAAGCAGCAGAGAGCTGGTTCACAGCGGTGGTTACAATTTGTGTCATGTCTTAAGAGTTTAGGGTCCAGCTGAAGTCGGAGACCTTTGATAGGCAGAGGCCCCAGTGCTGGAACAGTTGTGGGTGCTGGCAAAGTCCGGGTGTGACCATGGTAGTTGATGGCTGACTCTGGGGTATTGGAGAAAGTCACTAGAAGATGAGGAATTCTGGGAATAGCTAGGGTAGGTGGTCGGGTGGGTGATCTCTATGGATGATGGTGATGGTGATGATAACGATAATAGTAATAGTAATACTAGCAGCATGAGCCAGGCATTATATTAGCACTGCTGCGCATCACCTCGTTTAACCCAGCAGTGCTGTGGTCGGGTAGGCGGGGGTGTCCCCATTTTATAGTCAAGGGAATTGAGTCTCGAAGAGATTAAGTGATAGTAATAATAATACTAGCAGCATGAGCCAGGCATTATGTTAGCATCACCTCGTTTAACCCAGCAGTGCTGTGGTCCCCATTTTATAGTCAAGGGAATTGAGTCTCAAAGAGATTGAGTCGCGTGCCTGAAGTCATCAGGCCAGTAGACAGCCAAACTGGAAATCCCACTTTCCTGGCTTCAGGTCCTCTCTGACTACAAAGCCCTTAATCACAAGC